TCCCATTTCTAACAATGTGTTATAGTATTATTTGGCCGAATGTAGCATGTAAGCTAATTCGATCCCCTTTCTTGCCTAGTTATGAAAATCATTATAATTTCTCACACTTTCTCAGTTAAATTAAGTAGACCAACTAAAAAATTTTGAAGCTGTTAAACCATCATCGTCGTCGTCGTCATGATTGACGGTGACAAAGGAAATAACGGATAATCGTTTAATATATAATAATGTCTCTTATACTAAGAATATTTGATGTTGTTATTCTTATCCACTCGGATGGGGACCTATTGTTATAGTATAAATAAGCATTAATCTAACCGTTCATACTTTTATGAGCTAATAAATAAATAATTTACATATAAGGTCAGAATACTTGCGTTGTATTTTGGGCCCTTACACGTTACACCCTCTCCCCAAGGAAAAAAAAGAAAGGGCTGAAATTAACTTGGACCGATTAGCCCCAATCCAATCCTAACCCAATCTGAAAAACGATCAAGTTAGGGTGAGAGTTAGCCTTTGGGCAGCATGATCCAACTCAAATCCGACTCTACTATTACCATTTTACATGTCTATTGCTTTAATTATTGAGCCCTAACTTTAATGGCAAATTGTCATTAGCGATTTTCATTCCATTATGTTTTGTTATTGCTCATTTCATTATTATAGGGATGTTTGGAATCATGGTCGTTTTTTAAAAAAACAGTGCCACATTGGATTTACATAGGCGTTTCAACAAACGTCCATGTATCTCATTGTTTGGTTCAGCCGGTTATTAACAAATTGGGCATGTCTTGAAAATCTGGGCTCTACCAATGCATGAAACGCCAAAATCGGTGAATTGTTTTCCCCAATGGTTGACTGATGTGTATCTTATGTGATGCTTACCAGTCAGTACATACATAAAAAAATGGTGATGAAAATCACCTTACCAAACAACATAGTATTGCTCACTGCCTACGTGGCAAAAGCGTTTTTTTGTGAAAAATTGGTCTTAGAAACCTGGGCATTTTTTCTTAAAAATCGGTTCCAAAAAGTATTCATACTTCCAAACACCATATATATTTATAATAAACTTTAATCAATTTCACTTTTTTACTAACACACAAATAAAATATTAAGTAAGCGAATTCCAATAAAAAATATTGTCAGTATATGATTATAAAAGTTTTGCTTAGGTCTTTTAGTCAATTAAGAGAATTTAAGAGATTTTAAGAGGATGGGAGAAATTTGGTTGGGTGTTAAGAACCTTGGGTTGGGATCCAGTTGATGCCAATCTGACCTAATCTTGCCCAACTTGCACCCTTACCCAAAAGAAAGCGCAAAAATGTGCATGGTTTTTCCATCTTTGACTTTGATAAAAATAAACTGTGAAGCCGTCCATTACTGGTGCTGTTAGGCTCAAAATATTAGGGTTAGAAAAACTGAAAACGTAATTGGTCAATCAATTATTCCAACCAAGGGAACCAGTGAACCGGTCTTGATTTCATAAAACCAGCTGGTTTTTATTTATATAAATTTCAATGTATATAAAACCCTTCAAAGGCAATAACTTTGCACTTGATGATTGGATTGGGGTAATTTTTTTTTTTTTTTTTTAAATTTGGGCAATTTATTGAAAACTATGCATAGTTATATAGATGTGTCATGGGCAATTTATTGATCAGTTTAACGTAGGTAGTTGAACTAGTGAGCACTGACCTGCAACTTGGAGGGAAAATGATTCAGCCTCTTGGTTGGCTCTCTAAACAATGGCTTTTCCATTTTTTGTCTCATTCTGTATGGGTGGCAATTGAGCGGGTTGGGTTGGGTTTGGTTTGGGTTGAGCTTCAACTCAATCCATCTAACTTACCACCCATTAATGACCCAATTATATAAAATTAAATAGGTTGAGTTCAATCTAAACCCGCTTTAACCCAATCCAGCCTACTTTAACCCAATCCGGGTCAGGTCTGATCAGATGGCCCATATCGGACAAAACAAGTGGCACTGAATCATTCTGTCCGGGGTCTATTTTGGATTCGGATCGACCCAAATCAGCATATGCTGGATCGGGTCAGACCGCACTGAATTGGTCCAGACTCAGGTCAAATTGATTTGGATTTATGTTGGGTGAAGTGTATTGATTCAAGACAAAACTAAATTTAGTCAATAATTAATAGAAACTTAATGCATTAATTATAAATTATTTAATTCAAATAAAAAAAATTAAAAAAAAAGGCTAAGGAATTAATATTTATGTCTATAATGATTAACCCAAAGGTTATCCACAACCCAACCCAACCCAACCCATTTAAGTGAGCGGGTTGGGTGATGGGTTGATCACACAACCCGCCAAGTAAATAGACGAATTGGGTGGATTTAGCGGGTTGGGTTAAAAATTGCCACCCGTACCAATCTGAAGAAAACATTACTAGAAGAAAGGTAGAAGGGAAGTACGTACAGGAGGGAGATGGGTGGTTTGATAAAAAGTGAAACGGATGAACTGAATGGCTTATTGCTTCTCAATGGATGGAATTCGAAGTGGATTTATTACTATATGTTTGAAATTAAATTTCATATAAATATTTTATTTACATAATAACAAAACAATAAGTCGTTCAGTTGAGCCACTTCAGCCGTGGCACTTAGGCTTTATAACTTTACAGTTAGAAAGAGATGACAATACATATGAAAAGAAGGTACAGTCATGATCAAGGTTTTTAAAAGCGAATTAGACAATGAACCAGTCGGGGTCTGGTTCCCGGGTTGAACGGTTTGACCATTCGAACCGAACGGATGACCTTTTCTGACAAAAAATTAAAAAAATTAAAAAATGGCCAAAGCCATTGGATTCATGGTTTGAACGGTTTGAACAATTCGATTGTCCAAATCAACTGTTTATTATCCAAATCAATGGTTTTTGACAAAATAATGATTCTGCGACAAAACAAAATCGATCACCTGACTGATTTTCGGTTTTCCGGTCTGAATCTCGGGTCCGATTTTGAAAACCATGGTCATGATGTCCTCTCAAAAAGAATATACCCGCGCCCTCTTGTCTTTAAAATGAAGGGAAAATGCAAGGAATATTCCTAGCATTCTATTTCATATGTTTATCTAATTCCTTCCTGCTCTAAACCCTCATCATCAATTCATCATAGTGGGGGAAGGGTCACCATCTTGTAAGAGAAACCAAATGCAAAATAACTGGCTGATTATTTCCATTGACATAAGAACCTTAAATATGACAAAACTCATTATGGAATCATGAGTTCTTTATTAATCATCAGAACCAGCATCATATCAGTTCATCAGTTAGTAGATTCACTATGTGTTTGGCAACTTCCTTCAGAAGTCATTTCTATGTTCAGAGGCTTTTTCTATGGATTTAAGCAAGTTAATTATACCCTTTAAGTTGCGTTTGCATGGTTTGATAAAAAAATAAGAAATAAAACAGAAATTAGTTGAGGGAAATTAAATTCTTATGGAATTTCCTTCAAATTCAATATCTGCTTCCTAGTTGCAGGTTCAATTTGTTTGACATCCATAGAGCAGGTCATAAAAATCAAATCAAACATGTACAGTACTCTCCTCCAGATATCAACTTCAACCTGTAATTTTATTGACAATATTACATCCATATCAAGCAAATACCCACTTGCCGAAAATTTATGCTCAAGACATTTTAATGCTTGAAAATTTAAATAACTCGATCCCGAAGTAAGCATTTTCTTTTTGTTGAATCCCTTCTTACTCAAATTATAAATTGATTACACCTATATATATATATATATTATACATTTATATAAATAATAGATTAATAGTTGTTCTAGAAGTGTTGCTTATGCATCTGTGCTGTACGCAGAGAGAGAGAGAGAGCACGCGGTTTTGCTACATGGTAGGTATTCTCTAGATTTTGAACAAAAAATTTGACAAGCAATACTCAACTCCCCCATGTGCTTCGATTTCAGGCAGATGTTCCTACCGTCAGCAATAGTTTCTGATCTGACCGGTGACCGCAGGCAAGATCTGGTTCTGGTGCAGTGATTGACTAAACAACGTATCCACACCGATTAATTAGCCATTATTTATCCTTTAACCAATTCAGAGAGCCGTAAAACCAGTCAGTTTAGCATGGAATTATTACAACATTACTTAACTCAATCCACCACCAATCTCTCATTATATTGACCTTCCTTCTTCCAAAAAAATAAATTTAATTTGTTGGGTATACGTAGGGGATTTGGTAAACCATATTCTATTCTCTACGCGTTACAGCCACGCGCATGGACTCAATCCAACTGGATCCGTCACGAATAAATTATAAGGATTTCAATTAAGCAGAATCGATCGGAATCAAGTTATCTCAATCTGGGGCCCTGGGGGTAGGGGTGTTCATTTGTCGGTTTGGTTTTAAGTTATTTGGCCAATTGAATTGATTTGATGAAAACCGGTCAGCTAAAATTGTATTGGTTTGAATCAATTTTCTGTTTGATCGATCAGTTAAAAAAATTAAATTTAAATTTAAAGAATTGTAACTATATTATTAAAAAGTAAATTAAAAAAATAAAAATTACAATATGAAATATTTTAAACTAGAAAATAGGAAAAATTTTCAATTTTCTATATTAAAAAATATAAATTTAAAAACGAGTTGGATTGGTTTTGATCCGTTTACAAATAATTAAACCCCCGAAACTGACCCAACCTCTGGGATTACCGGATTAGCATAAAAACTAAACCAAACCAACCAACTCGGGGTCGGGTTGGTTGGTTTGGTCGGTTTGATGAATAGCCAGCCCTAGGTGGGAGTGGGAGAGTAAACAAATATTGCATCAAGACACCAAGCCACCGAATAGACTCTTTCAACGTTTTGCTTCTATATAATATACATATAATGTAATGCATTTCGTGGGTTAAGTCTGCAGATGTAATGACAACGGCTGTTCACCACATTGAGCCCTTGACTTTGAGTTGGATAAAGAAGGAGACCGTCCGTCCATTATAAATAAGGTAAATAAGATGGGTCTTCCCGTATAGGTTCACTCAGTCGTACGTGTTCATTATTAGCAGAGAAAATGAAGGTTCCATCGTCAGCAGCAAAGGCAGTGATCCTTGGCCTCCTTTTGGTTAACTTCACAAGCTTGTGCTTTGGTGCACTGGAGGTAGGATTCTACAGGGGGAAATGTGGGGTTGCAGATGTGGAGAGCATCGTCAGAGGTGTCGTTATTGCTCGATTTTCCAGCGACCCAACCATTGTGGCAGCTCTCCTCCGGATGCAGTTCCACGACTGCTTTGTCAATGTAAGTGCTTTTGTTGAGGAGGAGTTACTACTGAGAGTCTGAGAACTTCTGGTTCAGTTCGTGAAGGTGATAATAAGCGAGCTAGCTTTTTCAGACCTCTCAGTGAAAACATATGCAGATTAATTTCTTTGACTTTTCTTTAATTTGCTTCTATTTTCTTAGGGCTGCGACGCATCGTTACTTCTAGACGGCCCTTTCAGTGAGAAGACTGCACCTCCCAACTTCAGCGTGAGAGGTTTCGATATCATCGACCAAGCAAAGACTGCTATTGAGAATGTTTGTCCTGGTGTCGTCTCTTGTGCTGATATCATTTCTCTCGCCACAAGAGATGCTGTTTTCTTGGTATGACAAAACCCTGAAACTAGATATGTGTGTGCGTGTGAGAGAGAGGGAGAAAGGCTGTTAAGTGTTAACTTATATAGTGGCAACATATTAGATGATAAAATCCTATTCACGACCTCACCTGCCAAGTGGTCTAGGCTGATATCATCTGATACCGTAGATCTTATAACATAACGGGTCCCACTTTTTTGGTAGACCCCAGTTTTATAGTGAGATGTGTGGTGTTAGATTAGGTTGGTAGGGTGTTGGAACTGGTTTATTGGCAGGAAATCTCAATTCATCTAGTGTTAAGTTTGATCTTTATAGATCTTCATCACTCCATTATAATTAATTAAATTCTATCACAAGGTATATAGGAGTGGATTTGGGCTTGTTCACACCACACTTCAAATCCAATATGTTATATCCCAAGGGGGGGCTGGTAGGTTTAAGATTTTAGGTTGAATGGTTCCTTAGATTGCGTTTGGTTGGAGTGCAATTTTATTTGCACTACTACGGAAGTACAAATAAAAAAAATTCAAATTCTCGTTTAATTTTGTTCTGTGATTTACTTTATTCTGTTTCATATCTTAATAATTTACTTCATTTGCACGACATAGGCGGTGTTTGGAACCATGGGCATTTATTGAATAAACGCTGACACATATGTTCCACTTCGGTATTTTCCTAAACATTGATTTATGTATATGTCTACCATTGGAGAAACTTCATTTTAGCGTTTTCTTCAATGGATAGGTGTTATTCACTGTTTTGCTAATGTGTGGTGTTTAATGGCATCTAAGGGCGCCTAAGTGTCAATAAACACCCATAACTCCAAATATATACATAATTTTGCATCAGTGCAGATTTATTTCTTTTGGCTATATGGGTTTGGTTTTAATCCGTACTGAAATCACAACCCAAAGATTTGTTTTTTTATCAGTTGGCAGTACTGATTTTTAATTTATTTGACTAATGCGAAAACCCAGAGTGGGGGAGGGAGATACGAGGTACAGACAGGAAGAAGGGACGGTCTGGTTTCTCTAGCTGCTAATGTCGATCTCCCGGGGCCTTCAATATCAGTCACCGATGCCATTGCAGCATTTGCTAAGAAAGGACTCACTGCCACAGACATGGTTCTTCTTCTTGGTACTTCTTTCTTGCTTCTTCCTTCTCCTGCTTCGTTAAATATTTTTTAATTTCACAGATTAATTTGTTCTTGGGTACTACTATAGGCGGTCACACTGTTGGAATCACCCATTGTTCGCTCATTAGTGATCGTCTCTACAATTACCAGAACACCGGCGGACCTGATCCAGACATGGATCTTGCTCTTGTTTCCATTCTGAGATCAACGTGTCCTCAGAATGCAGCAGTGGACAATGCAGTCGCTCTGGACCAGATGAGTCCGCTTGTTGTGGACAATTCTTTCTACAAGCAGTTGCTGATGAGGAGAGGGATTCTTCCGATCGACCAAGCACTAGCTCTGGACTCTTCGACGAAATTCACAGTTATTTCCCTGGCCAACGGCGTCAAATTTCCTGCAGGGTTTGGGGAGGCCATGGTCAAGCTGGGGGCTGTAGAGGTGCTTACTGGGACACAAGGAGAGATTAGGAGAACCTGTGCAGCCATCAATGGCCCTTAATTTCTGAATGTAGTTGGTTATTTTCAATCACTTTTTTTTTTAAGTATTTGAAATAAAAGATCCAAATTCCAAACCACGTTCCAATCTTTTATCAGTCAATACAAAAAAAAAAGGAACTAAAACAAAATCTATTTCTCAAGTTGATACTTTAAGACAAATTAGAAAGAAAAAATGGAGATGCGGGGTATCGATCCCCGTATGGAATTAAAGATTTCTTTATTGAATAAGTGTTTCTAAGATGACAGATAACTTGCCTTTAGAAGAGACATGGGATTGAGTTCTGCTGATTCATCCGGATATATTCGGATGGAAAAACGTTTCTTTAAAAAAAACATAATGTAAAAGCAAAAAAAAAAAAAAGAAAAGAAAAAGAGCTTGCATTATCGGCAACCATGGTCTGCACAACAATCAACATTTTTATTTGAAAAGGATGGTGAATTCACATTTCCATGGGGGGGGGGGTCGAGATTGTTCTACAATAATGCAAGGTTCTAAATATCGATACGCGTATAAGACAGTACCGATACTGTATTTTTTTAATTTTCAACTTTATTTTTCAAATCTGATTCAGGGGCCAGTTCAAGGTTCCTCCACCCTTTGAATTAGTCAAAATCCCGATACATCCTCTGTAGGGGCGTATTGGCCAATACGGACTGATACATTTCGATTTTTTGAACCTTACAATAATGTTTTTCTCCCAAAAAAGCACAATGCATAAAATTGAGTCTTTTTGGTAGGAAAACGGCAAAAAACAATTTAATAGCTAATCAATAATGATAATCAACTTCAAAAAATGGTCTAATAACTGATGACAATCCACATGGACCCACGTGCACAGAATAGGGGTGTAATTGAGTTGAGTCTAGTTGAGTTTTGGGTGGTTTGAGCTCAAGTTTGACTCAAACACTCATAACTTAGAACTTGAAACTCAAGTCGAGCTTGATCAAGTTTTAAGTTCCATATTGGAACTTGACTAATCTATTCAAGCTCTACTCATCTAGAGTCAATTATAAATAAATTGTTATTAAAAATTACAAATAAATTAATATTTAAAATATTATAAATAAAAATATTCTAGAATATTTGATTATATATTAAAACTTATAAATAAATAAATATTATGAAATATTATTAATAAAAATATATTGAAAAATAATATTTTATTGGAAGCACGATTAGCCTCACAAGCTTCTTGAGCCAGGTATTATGAAGCTCGAACTTAGCTCAGTTAACTACTCGACTCAAGTCAAGCTCGATTCCACTTGATAATCTTCAAGTTGAGTTTGAGCATTTAGAGAGCCAAGCCCGAGTAGTTCAAGAGCTGGCCCGGTTCCGTTTCACCCTAAAACCACTAATGGGCCAAAAGCCGTTGATTTGATTAGCGACTTGCTGGCCCGTTGGCCCGGACAATGGTGTTTGTTCGTTTTTATTTTAATTATTTTTTTAATTTTTAATTTTTAAATTAGAACAACCCATTTGTTCGAATCAGACAGTCAAACCGTTTAACTTGGGAACCAGTCCCCAAAATGGTTTCATGTCCGATCCAATTTTTAAAACCTTGCAAAACACTGGTGTGTTTACTCATGATAGGTTGCCCAGCCTGGTTTGCAAGTTTTTGTCTCTAGCCTATCCAATTACCTCTCAATTCTATCCCTCTAAACTATGATCTATACCATTAGTTTGCCTGAGACATATTGAAACTTTGTTTGGACGAAAGACATTGCCAAAGAGTGAATATCCCCAAGCAGAGAATTGAGCCTTGGTGCATTGGGATTTAAAAAACATACATCTTTAAGCTTATCCAAATGCAACCTTAGCATTCGAAAAACAATAAGTAGCTTTTGTCGATGTAACACTTGTGGTTTTTAAAAATAAAAAAAACATGTATATTGGTGACACCCCATTATTCATTGTAGTTTGTAGGCCTACACTTGTTATGTGGATTCATTTGCCTAGCTTAAACTAAAAGGGATAGAAAAAAATGTTTAATTCCACATGATTTGTTGTTTATGGGTCTATGTTTTTCATGATTGGTGTGGAGCATTATTATTGGTTCCACTATTAGATAGTGTATGCCTTTATCTCCAATAAGATTGATGTATATTGAGATTTATGTACCAATAAAATTAGTCCATTACTATTTCGTGTTTTGAATGATGTGTTTCTATGAATTACCACTTAAATTAGATGCCTATGAGACTTATGTTGGTTTAGAAAGTTCTTAACCATTGGATAAACTTGGGGAATTTATCCTAACAAGGTTGACACTAATGTGTTGTTGAAATGGTGGAATAACTTGTCTCAGTTGTCAGGGTTAGACCCCAAGTACAATTAGTAGGTGTTTATTGATATTGTACTAGGTCTTAGACCAAACTACTTTTGATATGCCAATTAGTGAGATCCTCTTAAGGTCAAATAACTAGGTAAATTGGAGCAATTTAGAATATTACCTAAGTGGGTAATCATTGTAATAACCCTTTGTAAAATACCTTGGTATGTATTCAAACATGCCGTATAAGTAATGTAATTAGCAATATTGTAAAAAATTCTAACATAAGCATATACCATGATTGTTTGTTTAACCGGTCTTTCTCATCAAGTTTGAGGTAACCAATAATTGATAATTAAACATTTGGCACTAGAGTGCTCGACAAAATGAATATGTAGTTGTTATGTTACATGGTATGAGTGTTGTTAGTGCAAAGTGTATGCGATTTTTTAGGTAGATTGTATACAAAAATGTGTATAATTGTATTAGCATTTTAGGCAGGTTACCATGGTTTTTGTAGATCAGGGCCTAGGGTCTAGTTATCGAGAACTCGAAGTTGAAAGCTTAGGGGTTAGGTACCTAGGGCTTCTTGTAGTTGTAATTGGAGGCCTAGGGATTAGTTACCCTAGGGTTCAAAATTGAAGGCCTAGGGATTAGTTGTCCCAGGGTTCAAAGTTGAAGGCCTAGGGGCCAATTGCCCTAGGGCTTCTTGTAGTTGTAATTGGAGGTCTAGGGGCTAGTTGCCCCAATGCTTAAAATAGAAGGCCTAGGGGTTGGTCATCCTAGGGCTTCTTGTAGCCTGGGAGTTTGTTGCCCTTGGGGTCAAAGTTGATGGCTTAGGGTAAGTTACCTTAGGGCTTCTTGTAGCTATAATTGGAGGCCTGGGGTTGGTTGCCTCAAGGCTCAAAGTTAAAGGCCTAGGGCCTAGTTACCCTAGGGCTTCGTGTAGGTGTAAGTGGAGGCCTAGGGGATGGTTACCCCAGGGCTCAAAGTTGAAGGCCTAGGGGCTGGTTGCCTAGGCCTTATTGTAGATGTAGGGAATGGTTACTTGTTTCCCAACCCGAGCCCAACATGCATTGTAATTTGATGCACTCAGTTAGGCTTGGGCCCGAACAAGACTTGGGTTGGTCAATGGATTCACTCTAAAATTATAAATGTATCTATGCATTTATGCAAATATGTATGTACATATATAAATGTGTATACAAAGATTTACATATGTATATATGCAAATTTTTGCATATATACATATGTATATATGAATGTCTATACTTGGGTTGGGCTCAGGCTACCTAAGAGCTAGGCTCGAGCCCAACTTGAAAAATAAAAAAGCTCAAATTCTTGGGCCAGGCCTAATTCGAGGACTAAAAATCCAAGCCCAGCCTGTGTAAAATTTCAGGTTGGGTCAGTTCGGGCTCGGGTTGGCCTACCCAAGTTGCACCCCTAATAAGCGATGTTCAGGACTATCTTTCTAGGCTTATATTGACTACACTATGGTTGGTGCTATGGGTTGGTTACCTAGGGCTTAAGCTGTTATGATTTAAGGTGCATTAAATCTATAGAAGGTTAGTAACATTAAGAAAAGTGTATACAATATGATGTGCTCAATAGTTAAATGTGTGATTATGAATCTATATGTTATGATAAAACTTAGGTAATAAGTATTTCATTAATACTGAAAGATGAAATTACATCGATCGCAATTCATAAATACATAGATTGACACTTGGTATAAAAAAAATGATCAATTAAGAAGAAAATTTTCATTAATGAACATTGATGTTACATTCTGAAATACATAGAATAATTTATTCATGATACATTTTCAGCCAATGTCCATTTATGGTTTCATCTTCCTCATAAGTTTCAGGGTTCCATAGTACATAATATCCTGATGGGTAACCTTTTTTTATGATATAGAGGCCAACCCAGTTATGGGTGGATTTATTCGTAGACTTGTCTTGTCTTACATGCAACACCATCTTAAACACTTTGTCCCCTTCCTTGAAAATCCTTAGTTTTACTATTTTGTTGAAATTTGAGGCCATGAGCTGTTTTAATTTTACTTGGTGTTGAACATTTTTATCTCGAATCTCATCTAAGGTTTCGAACCTATAACATGCCATCTGATCCATATCCTCTGTCTTCAACGTCTTCCCTGTCGCATAAGCCACTCTAACTGGTACTATTTGTATTTCAACTGGTAGCATTGCTTCTTGGCCACCAGGGAGTATGGTGCTGATTTTGTCCATTTCCTAATGAAACTTTTGTAAGCACACAATGTGCTAGAGAGTTTGCCTGGTTAATTTCTCCAATGTTCAACCATAGTTTACTTAACATCTTTAGTAATGTTTTATTTATAGCCTTACCTTACCCATTCTCTTGTGGATAATCAGTAGTGGATGTGCTTAGTTGATAGGCCATTTCCTGTTAGGATTCTCATGGGTACTCCAAAATGATGGATGATGTGTTGTCTTAGGAAATTCTTCACATTGGATGTGACTATTCTTTTTATGGGAATGGCTTCAACCCACTTAGTGAAGTAATCGATGGCAACTATAGTAAAGTAGAAACTTCTAGATGGTGGATTGATCTTTCCTATAAGGTTTACTCCCAAGTGTGGAGTGGCCAAGGTGTGATTATTGGGTGAAGTTCATTGTTTGGTTGGTGTATTCTTCATCAATGGAGCTAGTATGTGTGGCATTTCTTTACATGTTTGGTTGTATCATCAATCATCGTATACTTGTAAAAGCCTAAGTGTAAGATATGATTACGTAAGACCATTTGACCATGGTTTGTAGCTAGCTCTTGGCTATGGGCAACTTCTAGA